ATCTTGGTCGAAGTTGTAATAGTCACTTCTCTGTGTGTCCTGTTCTGTTTTAAAAGAGAAAAAAAAAAGTATTGCAGCAGACTAGGCCAATAAGAAAATGCCCTAGCGTGGCTTAATCTGCATCTTGCCACTTCGTTATCCTCTTAGTTCCCAGCTTATCTGATGTCTTGTAAAGCAGCTCTCTATGCCTGAGGTCCCCGCATCTTCTCTGAGCGAGTCTGAAAGTGACAAACAACTGTGCGTGTTCAGAAATACCGTTGTTCAGTCATTCAGTCTTGTGGCTCCGACTCAGCCGCTTGGTGACGAAGAGCCCTATATGTGAATGGGACCTGGTTTTGCTTGGAGAATATCATGGTGAACAGGAAAACAAACCAAGCTTCAGTTAACATGTTGGGAATATGGTATGCTTCTACTGTTGTGAACCAGAGAGAATCGTGCCACTAGGTGGGTAAATATTTAATTGTTGTTAAAATACATTGAAGTCTTCAGTTAATTCTGGTGTTATAAAGAATTGTAATAAATATGGCCTGAAAAAGACCATATTTTAAAACTTTTTTTCTAAGAAAAAAAGAATATTAATGACTTGCTACCTATTAATGACTTGTTACTTGTAACATTTAAGAAGGAAGTACCTTTCATGAAAATGGCATTGAATCGAAGGGTGTTTATTTTAATGTTTATCCTTGTTGCGCAGTTGAGCAGTGTAGAAGCTGGTTTTACGCGATTTTTAATAGATTTTACAGTTTCTTAGGTGCATATTCTTGCTGAAAATGTTTTGTTTACTGTTCTTCCTTTACTATGTGAAGACTGTAACTTAAGGTGTACTTGTATTCGTCTAATTAAACTTCTCTAACTGCTACTCTTGGACAACTTGAACTATAAAATACTATTCTTAAAACTTCACAGATCTGAAAGCTTTTCATGTTTTTAACGGACAAATGGTAAGAGGCGTGAAAAAAGCATAGGAGAGTAAACTGTTAGTGTGTGCTCTAAACTTACGCAAAATATTTCTTAATCATGACAAATTTCAAAGGTGGATAATATCTTAGTGCGATATCAAAGAATCGTATCATATATAACTGATGAAAATAAATGCTTACTTGGCCTACAAATGTCTATTCCAATGCTTTGTAGTATATTGTATTTATAAAATACGTTTTTTTTAATCATAAGTTATTCAGAATTCACACTACTGAGTGGAAGTCCATGCTTCCTGATGTGACTTCAACAGGCATTAGGAAAAGAAAAATTTTATACTTTGAAAAGCTAAAATACTTTATCTAGATAAAACCTCTTTAGAAAAATATGGCTTTTTTCATACGCACTAGTATGTTTGGAAAAGTACAGTCTACTTCATGTAAGCTTCAATTACAAATATGTGTATATATCATAACTTACAGAAGACTTTACTGAAAATGTGCTGTCAATCAAGCCAGTATGGCATATGGATTATGAATACTGTGCACTGTTTTTAGAAATTCATTTTTTCTTTTGATGCCCCAGTTTGTATGTGCCAATTGTAATGAAATTATGTTCAGTATTTATTTTGAATTGCTGACATCCTCAGTGGGTCCTAAGCTGAGTGTCTGAAATGGAGTATGTAGGCCGTAAGTTACTTGATTCCAGTTTGTTTAAATGTAATGAGGAATATATGGTGCACTATATAATTTTGTAAATTAATTTCAGTATATATGCAAAGAAATCACTCTGGAGAAATGGGATTATCTAGCAGCTGGCTCTTCGAGTTCAGAGTGAAACATTTGCATGTACTATAATGCAGTCAATCTTTTGTTTTATTTTATGTAAATGAAACTGTTATAATGGACTACAATTCCTGGTACTGTGAATGAAAAGTATTCTTGTGTCACAGTTTCACTTTTAAAATGTATTCAGTCCAAGTTGTTCAAGTCTAATTAATACAAAGAGTGTTCTTTACTGCTTTGTCAGTTTTACTTTCCAAAATGTTTGACTTTTCCTTGTGCGAGTATAATCAGTACACCTGACCTGCCTTGGCTACGTTATCAATGTAGCACTTCTTATGTTCATGTTTAGCAGCTATTCTTTCAAATATGATGATTTGGAAAAGCTTTGTTTTTTAATGACTATGTAATTTCAGTCACTGCTTGACAGAAATGCAGATAAGATGCCTTCTGATAACCTTTTCTTTCTGAGTTTAAATTAATAGAGCAATAAAGGTAGTACTGTTGTTAATAGCTGTCAAACACAATTAGCGAGTGGAGTACAACTAGCTTATACTATAGGTATTTGAGAATATTTTATCCTGTGAGACAATTTAACTTCAGTTCTTAATTGTTAAAGGTAAATAATGCACCTGCCAGAGAAAGGAAGTGTCTGCTCCTAAGGTTTACTCCTCGGTAGAGACGATGCGAGCTTCCTCCTCTTTTTTGAATATTCTTAAAATATTGAATCATTTCAAGAATGAAGTAGCAGCCCTGTTAACTCTTTTACTTCCTAATTTTAACTATGTGTAGTCACGCAGGGAGCTTAAAAGGACACAAACTGATTTACATGCTCATCTTCAAGAGTTAGCCTGATGCATTTCTATTTGCTAATGAAAGCAATAATGCGTGCCCACAAATTTTCTTTAAAAATAAGAGTATAAACATGCGCTTTATAAGCAGTTGTTTAGATACTGTAATGGTTTTACAAATCTCTTTGTGTACTTAAGATTCCGTCTCACAAAGCAGCTTTTACGTTTCATTTTTGGTTGTTTTGGTTATTTCTCATCTTGAAGCTCTGTGTATTCTTTTTTACATCTCTTGCAGAATGCTGGAAGTCTAGTCCTACTGTGATACTTGTGAGCTTTTTGTTACCAATACTGTAGCACCCTGATATCTGTAGACAAAACAAGATTGAGGGGAAGCGTATTTTATCTGACAGTTTTCTCTCATCTGTTGATATTCTCACCATTGTGGGACAGGTGTGTCATTAAGTCAGCATGACCATCCCCATATTTCTGAGGACATACCAAATACAGTACTTTCTTCAATCTCACTTGACCGTTCTACTTAAGCTCATGAAACTGCTTGCATCTGTGCCATGGTTTTCAACATCTCTGATGCTGCTATGCATTTTCAGAGGAATATATTTTCTATTTCTCCATCTTGATTCCTAGTAGAATAACTTTTTATATATTTAGGTTATTGCTTTCATATGTATTACTACAAGAACAAGAGTTAGGAAATGTAAGCCAGAGAGGGGAATTGATCCTGCCTGAAAGTACTTTTTCAGAAGGGGGAGAGGAGAAAGGAAGTCGGGCTAATTTTTCAACTGGATCAGTTCCCTGTCTAATTTTCCACCTCAGCCCAATAGCCGATATTAGTGTGAGTGAGGACGCTGCAGCTTATGCCTGGAGTTAAGGGAAAGGTAGGCATCAGGCGCAGCCTGAGCTCAGATTGGCTTAACGCAACCCTAGAGCTGCGGCGTTGGGGAGGGTGTTCCGCATGTTAGCGTATGGTCTGTCAAGTGATCGTACTGAATGCGCGGAGGAAAAGGAGGACTTGCTTTCGCTGGTGTTACTTTTCTCTTCAGACCACCTAAAAAGTACTTTACAGGAGGATGCAAACCCTGCACAGTCCTCCAGCCCCGTTTCAGATTTTAATATTTTGTTATAATTTTTCCAAACTTTGTGCTGATGCGGGTAAGGCATTGTGCAGTTTGCAGTGCATTATATGGCATGCCTACTGAGTTATTACAGCTAGCTCACACTAATTGTAAGTTACCTAAGTTGTAGTTCTGATTTAATGACTACTGTCAATGACAGAAATAAAGAGAAAAAAGACTAAAAAACCTTTATTTTCCATGTGGATTTTTTTCTCTTTTATTCTTAAGCTTTACAGGATTATTATTGTTTCTGTAGACTAAACCAGGCCAAATAGCTCAAGTTAAACCTATTAGAAAGCTGACATGGATTTAAAGGCTCAGAACAATCTGGGAATGGGATCACACGTAGCGGTTCTTAATATAGACAGCTCTGTCATTACACATCTATTTGAGAACCAATTAACTTGCACTGACCTAAAGCAATGTTGTGACACACTTGCATATGAAAAAGGCTAAAAATACTGCTGAGCAGAAATAATATTTTTTTTCCTTTTTTTGTTTTAATTTCAAGGATAGAAATATGAAGACCCCCTAAAAAAAAAATTTTGTTTTTAAAATGGTATTTATATATGATGGTTTGAAAGAAAACTCAAATTCTTCTTGTGGCTATTTCTTCTGCCTTTGCCTAGCACCTTATTTTACTTGTTGTTGCTTTTTTTCTTTCTTTAAATTAGATTATAAATTTCTCAGCATACAGTATATTCTAGGTTGGTACGATCACTCCCCAAAGTTGACTGAGTCTCTTGGTGCGTCTGTAGCACAAATAATAAAGTGCAGTATTTTATATGTGGAAATAACTAATGCCAAGACACTGTATCAAAATGTCATGATAAAATTTAGCCTTATCTATGTATGTAGGCTAAAAATTTCAAAGATGAATCTTTCAGGAGAAATCATATTCTAAGTTGTTCTTTTTCCATAAAAGTTTGTGGGATTTTTTTTTTTAATGCTACTTTACATCCTTTCTAGAGAATTTAAATACTGGATATCTTATGAAAATATGATATGGCATATAGCATATATAAATCAACCTGTTCAATTCATCAAGAAGAGATTAGCTTCTTGGAAGAGCTGGCTGGAGCCTTTATCAGTGAGCAATATTCATTTCTGTGGTACTTCTAGACACTTATGATTACACACTATTGATTTTATGCTCCTAGATATCGAACAGTTGAGATGATTCTGTGGGTAAAGAAAGTCAAATTATAACTTTATTTCTCCACAGCTTTTTTTTTTTTTAATTTGTATGTGCAAGAATCAAACATAAAATATTACCACAATTCCTCTTTGTGAGGAAGTAATGCTGCATTTAATGCTGAACTGTAGCGTGGTCTAGGTATGACCAAAGAATTCTTTTATTTCTGTTGATTATGCAGTGGAAGAATCCGACATCATTGATCTTGAAAAACGATATTGGCTGCTAAAAGCTCAATCAAGAACTGGACGTTTTGATTTAGAAACATTTGCCCCCTTAGTTTCCCCTCCTATTCATCCATCACTGAGTGAAGGTACGGAACTTTGATAAAATGATTGATGAAGTGATGTTGAAGTGGGCTTAAATACCTGATGTCTCCTAAAATATTAATTTTAGATTTTTGAAAGTCGGCTTATTTCTTTTAAAATTTATGTTAAACTTAAATTAAGGAGATTCGTTTCTCTTAGTTGTTTGAAACAATGTTTGAAAATGACAGAAGGTGTCTGAGAGTCTATATTTGCTGGCAATGACAAAGGAAGTGATGCTTCTGTGTGTTGCGTTCTTCCAAATTGTCAGGAAATATGGCAAAATGGGCTTCCTTGACACTTTTCATTGGGTTCCTTATGATTTGGTAATATGACAAAATAACCTGCTGTGCCTGAATGTGGTAAAGTAAAAACACGTTTTTTTTAAAGTGACCAATGCCGATTTCGTCTGTGAAATGACAGTTCATTTTGTGAGAAGCTGTATCATAGTCAATGAAAATTTGGGGTATATCCCCTTATCCTTTTGCTTATGAGCATGTTGCATCTACTTAGTAATATAAATTCACACAGCTGCTGTGGGGAAACTTGAATGGTTTCTGCTCGTGGTCTGTGTCTCCTGTGGACAGAGCATTTGGGTCATTGATGCTAAAATACTTTATAGGATAAAAAGTGTTGTATGTGCAGAATGAATAAAACTCTTAAACAGGTGTGACTGTAACCCCTAACTCCCTTAGGGCCAAATTTGCAAAGGTATTCAATGATTTTCATAGGTGTCTGCATCAAAGCACTTTGAAAAAGCCATCGTGGCCTCTGAGTACCTTTACTCTTTTGGTCCTCTAGCTTTTAGGAAAACGCTTATCCTAACCATCCTGGTTTAGATGCACGTTACTATAAATCAGTCAATACAAGGAAGGCATGAGAATGAGACTTGTTGTTCATAATTCTTGTATTTTTTTCTATAAAATGCTCTTATTAGTGCTTCCTTATCTTTATTACACTTACGGATTAGTTATGATCATGAGTTAGTACCTGTCCTTGAAAAAGTAAACCGTTAAAACTTCATATAAATGTCAACTACTATCGTCAGCTGTTTTGGCCAGACTCCGTAACAGGAGATGCTTCTGTGGTTTGCAGGTTTGTTTAATGCCTTTGATGAAAATCGGGACAATCACATAGATTTTAAAGAAATTTCATGTGGGCTCTCAGCATGCTGCAGGGGACCCTTGGCAGAAAGACAAAAATGTAAGTGCACAAAATGTTAACTATTAATTTTAGAAAACTTCTTCAGTTTGAGCAATTAATGTTTGTTATTTCCACTTTTTAAAAAGCTTTGCCACGGAACAAGTGTGTATCTGTGGGAGGTGACAGACTTCAGAAGCTAAGAAGTTGAAGTTAGTTGAAATACGAAGACTTTCTTTTATAAAACATGATTAAATCTAATTCAGTATATTTTTATCCATGATTTCATATAAATTATAAATGTTTGGAAGTAGCTTGTTATTTCAGAGGTTTTTTGCAGTGTTAGCTCATCATGATGCAGAGGTGTGTATCTCAGTACACAAAGTGAAAAGTGCAAACATCTGTCTGCTCATTATGTATAACACAAAGCAAGTCTTGTTGATGGTCTTGTGGTAAACAGCATGTTCTGTCTTGTTTACTGTCCATTTTTCAGCTGGTCCCCCGCAACGTTCCTGCGTTTTGAAATATCTTCATTCCATGCTTTTCCAACTACGTATTACTGTAACTTAGATGTGACCGTTCACTGGAAATTTCTGGATGCACATATGTTCCATGCTAGATCACATCAGAAATCACAGCACAGAATTGCAGGAATCTAGATTTCAGTTTATGAAACACAGCTGCTCTATTTCCTCTCTACCATACATGCATCTTACGTCGTCAAAACTGTCAGCACTAAATCATGTTCTTGTGACTCTGCAGACTTTCCTTCTGCTTGAAAAAATTAAAAAAATAGTTGTTGAGTAGTTCTCGCATACAGAAATAATTTTCTTTTTTCTCAGTTTGCTTCAAGGTTTTTGACATTGACCGGGATGGTGTGTTGTCTCGCACTGAACTTAAAGAAATGGTGGTTGCACTTTTAGAGGTCTGGAAAGATAACCGTACTGATAAAATACCTGTAAGTCATATTTGACTTTTTAGTCATTTGCTCGTGTTTCCTAAAGTTATCCTTCGAAATGATGAAACTAGAAGTTGACTTCATGTTTCAGACGTGAGCATTGCTTAAACATAGTTTCAGTGAAATACACACTTGAACTGTCTTAACTGAGTAGTGTTAACTGGAAGTCGTGTAACTTACCTGTTGTAGCTTTGCGCTACCGTTAACCAAAGTAGAATTACTTGACTATAATGTCTGTGTTCTGTGTGGTATAAAGAAACCTTAGGTACAAAAATATAACTGCCTGGAACCGCTCAGTTGTGAATTTTACAGTGTACAGTGTTATAGTGTATCATCAACATTTTTTAAAGTTTATTTTTTTTTTATTCTGAACGCATATAGCTCTGGAGTGTGCCTTAAGCGTTTAACTCTGTTTCCTGATCCTTGTGTTTTTCAAGGAGTTGGACATGGATTTATCTGAAATTGTAGAGGATATTTTGAATATGCATGATACCACAAAGGTAAAAATTCACTGTTCTTCTCTTGTCATTTTTATATTTTAGTATCTTCAGTTTAATTCAAGAAAGAGGTAAAGTCTTGTTGTTTTCTTAGAGTAGAGAGATGTCAATAAAAGAATCTCTTTCAGTTAATGCCATGTTTCCATTATTCCTTTTCTAACAGAACGATGTGGAAAATTTTGTGTTTAAATTTTATAAGACATTTTAATACATGAAATTAAATCAAAAATACATAACTAGATGAAATAGATTTGAACCATATGCTGTTTGCAAGGCTTTACTATGCATAATTACTACTACTTTTAAGTCAGATGCTTGACTTTTTCTGAAGAAACTTTATTTTTATTTCATGTTAAAAATGATCTTAAGAAAAAAGGGATAGTGTGCTAGGGTATCTTGCATTTTATGCTATACAAGAATACATATTATCCTCCAATCTTAGAACAGGACTGTATTAATTCAATAGTAACTTGCACAGTATCATTATCAAACTATGTTGTTTGCAGATAATTTTATATACATGCAGTGAACTATATACCGCAGTATGATCTTACAGCTGAGTATCTGAAACTGTGGAGCAATCTGTCCTGGCAGACATACAAACTAACAAATCTCAGTAGCTTATATTGTACTTTACAGTTTTGTATAAATCTTTAATTACGTTCTTACTTGTTTGAGATAGGCGCTACCATCTGCCCATAGTACCTGGGAAGTTGTTTTCGTTGTTTAATCCATTGCTTCACAATGGAGGAAGAGTGTCTGGAAACTATAAATTATTTAAGAAAAACTATAAAGGATGGCTAGGAATACCTAATTACTCCTTTGAATCATTACCTTGCCTGCTTGTATTCCAACAAAGTGGCAGGCAAATATTTTATTAGAAGTCTTTCGTTACCAAAGCAGTAGAAAATACAGTTTCAAATAAACTCTTTCTTTCATCCTTTGAGGTTTTACCTGTTTACTCGTTTAATAAAAGTAGTGTAACAGGAAGAATATAGCAGTCTCATATCCACATAGTTAAAACAGAAGAGATCAAAGTTCGCAGAATATCTTTCTCAGTGAGTCATGAATGTAGTGCTGGAAAGAGTATTGATGCAGTTATTACGTGAGTTACTAAGCCTCTGTTCACATGTTAACTCATTTGACCTGTGAACTCTGGAGAAAACAGTCTTTGAGAAGGGGCAGAGTAGCTGCCACTGCCGCAAAAATGGTTATGGATTCTATTACAATATAACAGCATTGAATTGATCCTATCATTGAATTTTTGCAAGTAGAAGGTGTTCTGACAATGGTCAGTGTTATGCTACAATAACTTTGCAGTTACCAGAATTTATAACACTTGTATTGTAAATTAAGACCATGAGGAGTTTATGCCTTAGGATTTATTGATTTCCCAACACACAGGAAGATGGTGGGTTGTTTCTGTATGGGTACAACTATCTATATGTTCAGAGCTTATCTGGAAGAATGAAGTTTTAGAGTTGTTTGGTTGCCTACTAAACGATTGCCCTGAGCAGACACATACTGCTTCTGCAGGTTTCATAGTTTGTTAGGTTAACGGTTTGCCTTTTTTTTTTTTTTTTTTTTTTTTCCCCTTTCTTCCCCCCCCTTTAAGTTTGGACATCTAACTCTGGAAGACTACCAGATATGGAGTGTGAAGAGTGCCTTTTTTTTTTTTTTTTTTTTCTTTTCCCTTTCTTGCCCACCCTTTAAGTTTGGACATCTAACTCTGGAAGACTACCAGATATGGAGTGTGAAGAGTGCTCTTGCCAATGAATTTTTAAATCTACTTTTTCAGGTATATTTAGAGAAAATTCAAACTTGAAAATTATGGTAATTAACTCATCTGCTTTGTTTGTGGCCATGAAGTACAGCATCAGTATTTGTGCCAACATGTTTAGTTTTATCTGTTGCAATAAACTGTGTTTTGCATTACCTTGATCGAATGATTCTCTGTTTGGTTATTATTCTTTTCAGTGCATAATGTGTTAAAATGAATGTAGTGTAATATTTATAAAATGAAAGGAAATTCAAATGTATCAGCAGTTCCATTATATATTTTCCATTAGAAAAGGGCTATGTTCCTTGAAAGGTTGTTCTTCCAAATCTTTGCAAAGAAAGTGACACAGGAAATAAGGGAAGGTACTGCTAACTCTTTAACGCTTTCCCTTTTTCTGTAAAGGCTGTCTAAGGAACCTTTCATCGCTTTCTTAATGGAGCAGTCCTTGAAAGCTATGATGTCAAATCACTATCGTATTGCAGAAGCTGGGGATTAGCATGCACTGGATTTTTCTTTTTTAATTGAGCTTGAATTGGATTTTTAAAAGTTCTTAAAACAGTCATATTTTAGTACTTGACTCACTTTTTGTAGATAATAACCCCCTAAGTGTATTTTGATTCAGTGTAATTTATTCCTTACTAGTTTTCCATAGAGCTTGGTAGCTTTAGTATAAATAATAATAATCCTAATAAAGTCTGGAAGATTTGCTCTAATTTAGTATTTACCTCCAGCCCTCTGTGAGGGTCTCTGTTGTTCCAGTGAGGGCAGGGAAGAAACAGTGGGCTCCGTTCTCATCTTATCAGGGAAGCTTGATCAGTTACAGGGTCAGGTTTTAGCAGGAAAATACTTCTGAAAGAGGCCATGTGGCATTTCAAGAAACAAGTAATTGATTATTGCCAGAGCCTGCCTGAATAGCATACTACTCATTCTCTGGTTATAATTCTGGACTACTTTTCACACTGTATTCTGAACTGTACTTTCCCTAAAACTTCAGGTAGACTGAGCGAGAATATTGAGGCCATCAGCTCTACTACAGTTGAATAAAATCAGAAAGTTCTATGAATTTTTTTTTATCGCTAATTGCATCAGTTTTTGCTTATGTTGTAACCTTCTCAAGAAGGGCTGTCTTTATCTTTGCACTGTTTATTGTCAAACATCCTATCATAATAGCTTAATGTTGATTAGCTAACAAATATCTATGCATATTGTGGGTAAAACAAACAAACATCTGATAAATTTGTCTTAATGATGATTACTTGCAGTTGTTCCACATTGCTTGTTGGAGGTCTCATCTGCAATATTTTTCTCCTGACAGAGTTGATGCATTTTCATTTTAGATTTTTATTTTTGATTTCCTTTGATACCTTTACCTTATGAGGCACCCTTGTTTGGCATAGGGCAAAGTCTGCCATTGATTTGTCTGGGAATTTATTTGAACTGTCATGATCTTCTCTGTCTTAGTAGAGCACACTGGAAAGCTTTTCAACAAATTGGTTTAACGGTTGCAGCCTGAGTAGTTTATCTGAAGAAGCTAATACCAGTACAATGTAACATCAGTTTAAAAAGACAGATCACAGCCAGCTGTGTTGCATGTGCTAGAAAATGTTTCTTCCCAGCAGCTGATGGCCTTTGTTTTATTCAGACTGTAGAATGGTCTCACACTGTAATATAAATTTAAATAAGATAACTCACTAGTCATTAGAAATCTCCTGCTGAGATGCAAATTGATAGCCTCAAAAGAGACATAAGGAAAAGACTACAAGTCGTGTTATGAGTAGGAACCAATCTAAAAACTGTCTTGAAGATGAGACAGCTGACCCTCCTTCCTACACGGAAAACAAAGATGCCTGTAGAGTCTGTTTCCCTCTGCTCGTCACTCCGTACCGCGTGCTGGGCAGCTGCGGGATCTGCTGCGAGGACCTAGCCGGAGACTTGACTGCAGCCAAGGGCACGACAGCTTTTCCTAGATAGAAAGGAGTAAAATAAGGGCCCTCTGGGACTGCTGTCCTGTGCTCAGAATAGAACCCCACCCAAACTGGGCAGCTGTCTAGGAGATGGTGCCTTTTCCTTCTGCATTTAAAAAAAAAAAAAAATCAAAGGAAGGACCTTTTGACTTTCAAAGATCTTTTTGTGGTTTTGAGAGCAGTTTCCTTGGTGACTGGTTGGTTGGGCTCATTTAAACTTCTCCCTCAGTCTTTCCACATGCTGTTTCTCCTTTCAGTCCCTTATATAACCCCTTCTCTTCGGTGTTCCTGGTTTCCCCATTTTTCCAGCAGCTTCCGTTCTCCACTTTCCACCTTTTCTCTCCACCAAGTACATAAAGCTATCTTAATTTTTTGTACATCAGATCTGTTTCAGTTATTGTGGTCTTTCATACTGTGTGCTTTTCTTAAGACGTAAAAGTAATGAAAATTCATTTTGTATTCCCTGCGATTGAACTTGGGGCATTTGGCATTCTTGCTATCTTTGTCTTAAACAGTGGGAGCAGGTTGTGAATCTGGGAGCTTAGAATATTTCTTGTTTGGTGATTTGTTTGATTTAGTCATCTTGCTACATAGTTAATAAAAATTTTTTGAAAAGTTCCATTAAAGTTCCCGCCTCTCAATTACCTAATGCTTGTTTCATAGCGACAGTGTTTGTAGTAAGAATTACCTTCCTTTTTCCAGGTGTGTCACATAGTTTTGGGGCTACGACCTGCCACTCCAGAAGAGGAAGGACAGATTATTAGGTGTGTTTTGATCTGAATCTTATATAGATTTCCAAAGCACCTCTCATTATTTTCAAAAGAGGGATTTGTAATTTGCATGTTTCAGCTAATGCTTAAATCATGGTGTTCATTCTGTCTGTGTAGAGGCTGGTTAGAAAGGGAAAGCAGATATGGCCTTCAGCCAGGGCACAACTGGTTTCTTATTGCAATGCCATGGTGGCACCAGTGGAAGGAATACGTCAAATATGTAAGTAGAGTGATAATGTACACTGAATAAGTGATTTCCTTGTATTTGTGAATGTGCTTATGAAAAAAGTGGAGAACAAAAGACTACGTAACCAGTAATGCTTGAAATTAATCATCTTCTGTCTCTTAGTGAAAAATAATTGTTTTGCTGAATCATTGTCACACAGACAGCTTTTCACTATAATTTCATTAAGCTGTCACCTTTACGTCAATTTCTTATTCTCAGCCTCTTCTGATATTAAAATGTTTCTGTGGCTGGTGAAAACAAAGTTAGGGAAGACTAAAACGTTGCAAGTTTGAGGGAAGAATGGTTTTTGTTCTTGCACGTGCTCTTCTCATTTAACCGTGTGAAATTCAACAAGGACAGTTCTTCAGATGTTTAGAGTCTGTGATTATAGCTGTTTAAAATGATTCTCTTTTTTAGATAGCTAAACAGAGCAAGTAATTCTGGTATTTCACAATTTTTATATTGTGCATAGGAGTTTATTCCACTGCTTTAAGAATCTTGACTGGTTTGTTTCTGCAAATAATAAGTAGATGTAGAAAATATTTTTCTATAAAGCACATTGTGATATGTGAAAGTGGCAACATAGCTGTGAATTCTGGTGATTGGTTTGGCTGATGTTAAATGTCTTTTTTTTTTTTTTATAATTAACTTTTCTACTTATCTACTAATTTTAGGATGCAAACCCTATTGTGATAGAGCCTTCATCTGTCTTGAGCGGAGGTAAGAATTCACTCGTAGCTGCTGCAGCCAGTACTTCAGAACAGGGAGAAGACAAAATGGGAGGTCTTAATTACTGCAGTGCCACAGAAGAAAAGTTTTCAGATAATATTTCTACTGCATCTGAAGCCTCAGAGACTACTAGCAGCAGTAAGCATAAAATCTTATTTCCTTGGAGGTTTGATATAGAACAGGTTTTGAGAAAACTAGATGCTGCATGGATTCCTCCAGACTAAAGATAATGAAGTTTAAGTTGCATAAGTGGCCTACATCTAGTTTATCCACCACAGCCTAAGTAACCAAAATCCATAACAGTCTCATTTAAACAAACTATTTCATCTTTTATGCTATGATTTGTTTCCAGGATTGTTTTCAAGATAGGTTTTGTCCTTTCATCGTTTTCTGAGTGGTTTTTTTTTTCCCTTCTCACTGTGTTCTTCCTAGCTCATTGTTAGTTGGTATTGTACTCTGTCTTCAGTGAGCTATCCTCAGATACTACAGAAAGGAAAGAAGCAGAAAAGGATTTAGGAAAAATTAGGACGCGTGTGATGTAAAGGAGCTTGTGCAGATTCTAAGAGCCATCTTTGTGAAAGGACAAGATATTTTAGTGTTGATTTTCAGTCAGTTCTTCTGAGAATTTGAGATTTTTTTTTTCCCCCTTATAAGATAGCTGAGTATTAAGTCTGGTATTTTAAAATCTGATTGTTACAATTGTATCCTTGTTCTTAGAACAGATAAATTACCATGATCCTTTTGGGAGGTGGGGATGGAATGTTAGGAGAAGCAAGTTTTAGATTACAAATTTTTTTAAACCTGAGATTTGAATCTAGTGTTCCGGTTAACTGAATGAGGTTCTATATGAACAGAAATATTTTGCCTTTTCAAGGAGGGAAAAAGGCAAATAAGGCATTATTGTGTATATTTTTGTGTTTATGTATAAAATTTCCACAAGTTTGATTTGGTGATATTCAAATACCCAGGCAAGCATATGCTAAACACATTTGCATATGCAAGCCTAGTTGCTCTGTGTTCAAAACAGTATTTGTGTAAGTATCTACTTTAGTATACAGGTCTCTCATATCCACTTCATTTTTTCTGAGAGTACAAATATATGTGTTACTCTGTAATTTGGAATAGTTGTATGTTTTACTGATGTATTAAGGATTGGAAATTTCTCCAATAATATTAAACTGTTTTAGCCTTTTTAAACTATTTTAACTTTTCAGGAAGTGAAATAGGGAATTTTTCTGTTGTTTTGTTCCAGATGCTCTTTACTCTGGCGCACCAGGGACTGATATATGTTTTGCTAGGCAGCATAATACTTCGGACAATAATAACCAGTGTTTGCTTGGAAACAATGGGAATAGTTTACTACAACTTAATCCTCAGAAACCAGGAGCTATTGATAATCAACCCCTAGTAACACAAGAACCAGTGAAGGTAAATATATTTGACTCATGTGAATACAGGAAAAGTATCTTTTAACTATTCTTTTATCACGATTTTTTACTTGCTGTTGGTTTCAGCTAGTGGCTTAAGTCTAGGTTAACGTTGCTTTGTTATAACAAAATGTTGCTTTGTTATAACAAAGTTCAAATTTTACTCTTATTTTAAGAAAAAAAAAATCTATTCTACTAATGGGGTTCTTCTTGAGTATTTGGTTAAAAAAGAGAAACATTCAAAGTGTACTTAAATAGCTTCAGAAAACTTAGAAAAGGAAAAATGTTTCTGTGGAAACACAACTTTAAACGTTATTTTAAAAATATTTTTATAATTATTTTCTTTACCATGTTTTCAATCTAAATATAATAGCATACTG